GTTCAATGGAAAATATATACAAACAAAATGGAACCGGTTGCACTTACCGTTGAGAAAAGTTAGTGATTTTAGCACTGTTACTTAAAAAATTTAATTTTTTTATCATATCTCCGGAACCAAATATCCGATCGAAAAAAAAAACACTTTCGATTTACTGGAGCCCAAAATACACTAATTGGAATATGCGTCACTTAAATTGGTTCAGCCGTTGCCGAGAAAAGTGAGTTAGTAACACACATTCACATTCATCACACATACGCACAGACATTTTCCCATCTCGTCAAGCTGAGTCGATTGGTTTACGACACCTGACCCTCCGGGCCTTAGATCTAAATTATTTTTTTCTGGAACTTCACATTTGCTGGAGCGCTACAAACAGGGAGTTAAAATTTCATTATTTTGACGCAGAACTACGTCGGTGATTTCTAAGGGTACACTTTGTAAAAAACGAAAATGAAACATATAACAAAATTATGAAAGATTTTGAACGTTAATTACTCAGCTGCACCTGGACCAACAACGGAACAAAAAAAAAAAAAAAAAAAATTGCTCAATATTTTCCATTCAAAACTGAAAGAAAATAAAAACTCAAATTGACCAATATTTTGCATGAAATAGTGCACCCTTTCATTAGCAGCTTCTTCAGAATGATGGAGAAAGTCTCTGCTTTCAAATGGTGAAGGTTCCGGGAAGGCCGATTTTTTGTTTTAGTTTTATTTTATCAAACGCACCGTGATTAATTAAAATACGTCTGAATGCAGGCGGTGATCATCATTTTTCCTCATTCAATCAGTTTTAAGTTCGGGAAACGTTTATTTAACTGACACCTGATTTTAAATACTGACTTAGATAACCAAAATGAAGTAATACTAATTATGATAGGATTTTGAGGAACAGTTAAAAGTTGTATTTTCCATTACTATAAAAGCGGTATAATGCATCGATTTATAGCAATTATTTGAATGCACTCAGTAAAATCAAGAGCCACATGAGAAAAGGGCATACAAGCTTTTTGCAAACAAACCTTTGTAGGCCATTTTCTCGCCAACCGAGGGTCACCCACGCAAATCAACAGCATCATCGGGGAGGGGAAAGTTTCCCCTACCCGGTGATGTTGATGGTTTGCGTTGGTGTTATATGGGTGGTGAGAAAAATGCATAAGAAGGTTTGTTTACAAGAAGCTTGTATGCCCTTTTCACATGTGGCTCTTGAAATAATGTAGAAGTTCATAAACATAAATTTTGCCGCGAAAAGGAATTTGAACGGTACCTCTGGCTGCACGAGAAGGAGCTTTTTTTTGACGTAGGACTACGTCTTTGATTTCTATATGGGGGTACACTTTGTGAAAACCGAAAAAACATGTAACAAATTAAGAAAGATTTTAAATTTTAATAACTCAGCTGCCCCTGGTCCAATTTCAATAATTTTATCACCAATCGATCAAAAATATGGCTACGCATCGATAACAATACTTCCGAATGTTGATTTTCAACAAGAAACTATTGAAAAATTGGTAAATGACCAGCATTGTCCAAAAGCGTCGAATTAACTAACAAATCCACCAATTACCTACATGCATATGCTGCTTCCCCAGCACAGTCGTCAGAGAGTAGTAAGTAGACGAAACAAGCCGAAGTGGTATTCGCCTCCGATCCTCGGGCGCGTGCGAATAGGGAGGATGGAGTTGCGTAATATTTTGCACACTCATCGCCATATTCAGAAACAAACGCAAATTCTTCGAGATAACTACCATCCGTCTGGCTCGCCGTGGTGGTGTCTGACGTACCTCCGGTCTGATTTACGAGGTGTGCTGAAGGTGTTCCTGAAAAATGAGATCCGTGATGCTGTCACCTACACTAAACACGCCAAGCGTAAGCGGCCATGGCTGTCATCTACGGTTTGAAGTGACAGAGACGCACTCTGTTTGGTTTCGGAGGTTAAATCATCACCAACTTTGGCAACAAAACGGCTCTTTTCAGGGACACCAAGCTTATTACAGTAAAGAGTAGGAATCGAATTCATCTGCCTGTTTGTCCATAGTCAGAACCAACGACCACACAAAATGCTCATGTAATCAAAGTGGAAGCAGGGGTACCAATTATTTTGATCAACCTTGATCAACATTGAATCGCCACGGCCGGATATTTTCGATGGAAGAAGCAACAATCTAGCATCTAATTCGACGAAGACGGCAGGAAACATTTGTGAAGCCGAGTTATTTACGAAAGAGAGTGTCGATGAAGAGAATCGATCAATGTAGATAGGACGTGACGCGAGATTTGTTTTCCGTCCTGAGCTCCAATGCTACCGACGCCAGGGAGGCAGCTCCCACACCTGGACCCTACATATCGGCCCATCAACTCATGAACAGGGGAAGGAAGGCGTGATCAGAGATGCCATGTCTTAGAACATGCCGGTGGCGCCGACTGAGATTGGACCCAGACCTGTTGGGTGAGAGGTAATCACGCTAACCACCGGCGCCGATATCTTTCAAGGTGATATCACGGCAAATGATAACGACCCAAATTTGTGTTTAGTTATCTCAGAAATAAGAAATAAAGTGCAGGAACTCAGCGATGAGTAAATTTGCCTCATGTTTCCCAGGTTTTTCCAGGGAAAAATTCCCGAATTTGAGAAAAGTAAAGATTGGATTCACTCAGTCTATGGGTACTACTCCGAGACTGAATAAAATTTTCGTCAATTTCCTAATTTTCTGGCCGATTTTTTAGGTTTTCCACAGGAAACCATGAGACAAATTTACTCATCGATGAGTTCCTGCACGTTTGACGATTATGAGTGAACTAAACTCAAATTTGGGTCGTTCTCATTCGCCGTGTACGCAAAAGGAAAAGAGCCAGTGTCGCTACTTGATAGCAAACTACTCATAATGGGAGGAGTCTTTGTAGCTTTTATACCACTTGGTTGTACATCATTCTGCTTTAACCTGAAAAGATATAAAAGAGCGCTGCTGTATGGCATAAGCATCTTTTTCACTTGAAAATTCATACATGAAACCACACAAACACAAGAAATAAAGATAATTTAAAGTCAAAAAGGCATTAGCTCATTTTCGCTTCGGACGGCGTGGTGAACAGCAATAGCAGCAGTAGGAAAATGGTGGCTAGTCCACTCCTTCACACCTAACAAGCAACAATTGACTGGTCGTGGCAAAGGAGGAAAAGGTCTGGTAAAGGAGGCGCCAAGCGTCATCGCAAAGTTCTTCGAGATAACCGCCATCGGTCGTCTGGCTCGCCGTGGTTGTGTCAAACGTATCTCCGGTAGGGAATCAAGAAAATGCTATCTTCCTATGCTTACCGAGGATAAAAATACTAGTTAACGGAGTCATGATCAGTGCACAGTAAGATCATGGATTATCATTTGTGTTACACATCATGATCAGCAACAAAAACGATAATCTACTGATATGATAACAATCACTTTGTAATGTATATCAAAATCTAGGAACTAGCTGTTTTCGGCAAAGTTGTTATAGAGGTCAAATACCCTACAATACGGATATTTTTGGAATCGGGATGACACATATATTTTGAAAATCAGTGTAGGTCGCCATTTTGAAATCCGTCATTTCGGCCGTTGGTTTCGGAAAAAAAACTGTCAAATACCCTGCAATATGGGTATTTCTGGAACTGGAATAATGTATAGATGTCGAAAATCGATGTCAACCGCCATTTTGGAATCCAATTTGGCGGCCTTTAGATTTAGATAGAACTGACAAATAAACTATTCAACATGGCGGCTGACATCAATTTTTGACATCTACACGTCATCCCGTTTTCTAAAATGCCCACATTGTAGCGAAAAGTTGTTTCTAAAATCAATAGCCGCCATCTTGGATTCCCAAATAGCGGCAGATATTAATTTTCTACATCTGCATACTATCCCTGTTCCGAAAATACCCACATTTCAGGGTAATCTTGGATTTCCAAATGGTGGCGGACATCAATTTTCGACAGTTTTTCTTAAATCGATGGCCACCATCTTGGATTTCATATTGGCGGCAAACATCGATTTTCGATCTCTATACATCATTCTCATTCCGAAAATTCACATATTATAGGGCATTTGATTAGCCTTGTCTTAAATGGGGAACTTTCAGTGACGACAGCTGATGATGATGATCTGAGATTATCGCTATTTCATATGATCATGATCTGTTACACAAATGATAATCGCATTATCGTTTCCAGAAGTGTTCATTGTGATTTATAGATTTGTACTAATCATGAATGTAACCAAAATGAGAATGCCATTATCTTTATCTGAATCGTTCATTTTGGTTCCCTGATCTCCGGTCTGATCTATGAGGTGTGCTAAAGGTGTTCCTGGAAAATGAGGTCCGTGATGCTGTCACCTACACTAAACACGCCAAGCGTAAGTGGCCATGGATGTCCTCTTCAATAAAACGGCCGGCCCTTTTCAGGGCCATCAAGCTTACATCAGTAAAGAGTTGGAATAGAATTTATCTGTGCTTGTGTGTCCATATTCAGAACCACAAGCCCCCAACGACCACACAAAATGTTCTCCAGAGTTGTAATCTTGTAACCAAACTTGGAAGCAGGGGTGCAAGTGATTTTGATTGATTCTCTTAATCAACTTTCTCTTTGAAAAAAATACTACAAATTTGGTACGCCTACAATTCAAAAACGGAAAGAGTTGAGATAATAGATAATAGATCAATTAAAAGAACTAAATGCTCTTCACATTTATTCCGTCCACTAGCGGTCCTACGTCAAGCTTCCGTTCGTGCCCCTAGGCACAGACCCTTCTACTTTTTTTTTTCTTTATTAGAGTGACTTTCAGCCAAGGACAAAGCTTAATTTGTCTATTCAAATGATTGAAATATAAATTGTTCATCACAAATACCAAAAAAATGTTACCCACGTGTTCAATCTTTTTCGTGGCCATGCTGTGCAAATATAATGAATTATCAACGGCGTGGCGGCAAAAAAAAAATCCATTCATAACCCCCAGGTACCTACCCCGTGCGGATAAAGTTGGACCAGTAGATCATGACCGCTTCCGACAGCGCTATCTCGGCTTTCGTGTAGTTCCTGGTGAAGTGGTTGAATCCCCCGACCAGCGGTGCTCCGAATAGATACGGCAGATCTTCCCCGTGGATGCAGCCTTGCCGCTGTGAAAAATAAAAGATAAAAGAGATACAATACGTAAAAAAAAAGAATAAACTGGTACACAGTGCTTGTATAAAATTCTGTCCAACATTTCAATGGCAAACATAGTTTTATATTTTCCGACTGTCCCGGCTCACTAGATGAGTTGTTTTATTTTCGGTCACTAGGATTCAACATTCAGAGATTTTCAACGCTTGTCATGGGACCAGCAAGCATAAAAAAGCTTAGCAACGGCGCGGATAGAAGCCGGACACGTCACTAGCGGTACATGACAAACGTTGTGCGATTTCAATGTGAACAGGCTGTTAAACAGGAAAATATGCCATCACGTTTGCAATATGTGATGCAGTTTGGCGAAAAAAGGAAATCAAAATTGCTCTGTGAATATGTCAGCTATGATTTGGTTTCAGAACTAGGGACGAATTCAATCCGATTAGACAACAAATCCCACATGCCGTGTTGCAGCCTGATTGACCTCAGTTTGTGTTTATTAAACATTCGAAAAGGTTCGTTTGCACATGAGCTAACTTACGCAGAATTGATTGACTGAATATTCTGAATGAAATATTGCAATGAAAATTTTATTGAATATTTACTGCAACCCATGAATATACAGACATTACTCAATGGAAAATTTTGGTGGTAGTAAAACAAACCTGATTAATAAGGAAAACTGTAGTTAAGTTTAAAAGTATGTCATAAAATTTAGCCGATTTATTTTCATTGAGATTCAACTTCATTAACTAGGGTAAATTGTTCTATTATCGACCCTCGGTAGCTGTTTTAAAAGTTGAAGCAAAATTTATGACCTTTTAATTATTTCATCAGCAATTATTTTCAATTGCCTGATATGTATAATAACTAAATCACTATATTTTACCCAGCATAATCTGAAATACAAGTTGAATTTCATGGATCTCATTGGGACGGTACTCATGGATATTTTTGGCCGCTATTGAAAATTTAGTCGATTGCTGAATTTACGTATGGGCCCAAATTAGGAGCATTCAAGCCGACATTACATCCATTTCCCCAATTGTGAAATTATTTTAAAATTATTTAACTGCCTGAACTCTGCAGGTAAATTATCAAAATTCCAAATCTGATCGAATACCTGTTAGAGCAGGAGTTCCTCAGGGTAGCATTCTTGGGCCTATATTGTATGTATAACATTTTCACTTCGGACCTCCCTGATTTACCTCAGGGTTGCCACAAATCTTTGTTCGCTGGTGACACAGGCTAAAGGAAGAAGTCTTCATGCTATTTACAGTAGACTGCTCTCTTCTTATTTACAAAAATGGAAGATTTCTCCCAACGCTTCCAAAATTCAACATATAGGGGAAATGTATGTAATGTCGGCCTAAGTGTTCCTAATTTGGGCCCATACATAAATTCAGCAATCGACTAAATTTTCAATAGCGACCAAAAATATCCTTTAGTACCGTCCCAATGACGCGTTCATCTAGATAAAATTGATAAATAGCAGATTTTTAGCGATGGGCCCAATCTGAGGTTCATAGGCCAACATTAGAGCCATTTCCCCTAATATTCCCACATAAGCCTAGAGCTTCCTTTTGAAACCTAGTAATAGTCACATATTAACTTTGAACGAAGTTCTAATTTCTTAGTCAAGCCAAGTGAAATATCTTGGATTAGTACTTGACCAAAAATTAACTTTTAAGGATCACATTAAGGGTATTGAAGCCAAATGTAATGAATATATAAAATGTTTGTATCCTCTTATAAATAGAAAATCCAAACTTTGCCTGAAGAATGAACTTGACCGGCCATGCTTTATGCTGTGTCAATATGGTCTAGTTGTTGTACTACCAGGAAAAAAGCACTTCAAAGGATTCGATATCAAATATCAGGTGTGGGTGTATCTGCCATTCCTCTTGCCGTAAACGATTCATCGTTTGTAGCATCATGGTTTTCCGTCGTGGTATTTCGTCATTATGTCCTCGTGTTGATCACATCTCGTCACTATGTATTTTGGCTTGTGGTTTCCAGTGGTTTATGATTTAAGATAACGGTGAGGTAATGCAGGTTGCCAGATTTTCGTTGATTTGCGTTATATGTTGTAAACGTCGATACCAAACGTTACTTGTGTTTTTTATGATGTTGTCAAACGTTGCTGTCATATTTAGTGTATTCTGTAGTTTAATGATGATGATTGCGAAACCGTTGTTGAAGTAGTTTGCTATTGTTGATGATTTGTGTTGAGACCATACCAAAGTGTGCTATTTTTTATCGATGCAACCTGATGGACCCAATTGGTGATAATAGTGATTTTACCTCCATGTTACGTTCTCTTGTGTTGTCCTTCTCCGTTGATCCTACCCGTCAATTCTCAATCTTCCTTATGATTTGCCTTTCGATGCCTAGTCACTATTAATGTGACTCTTCCTTCGCTATCGACGGATTGTCGACCATTATTCAGATTCACCATCCGATATATCTTAGGATATTCAAATCTTTTTTCCCTACGGCAGCAATAGTTATTTTCATTTGATTAATTTGATTTAGTCTTTAGCTCTTTAACATCATACCCAAGTAACATACAAAAGATCTTTCTGAAAAAGAATTAGAACGACTTGTTGTATTAATGTATTATAAGTGATGCATAAACATCCCATGTTTTATATGAGGTTTAAAGATGTTTTCTTCATACTTCCTAGAATTCAACATTTTCCAAAATAGCTTTCTTGTGCTTTTAACTTTAAATGTTATTTAAACGTGCATCTTACTGTTTTTATACCACTATATAACTTGTCGTATGCAAAATCAATCTTAGTTGAATTTATAAAGCTCTTGAAGAGATTCTGCACTTTCCAGATTGACGTGGACATTGACGGCGCCATTGATCGGACTGTCTAGTTAGGAAGTAATAAATCTTTCACGCCAAGGACCTGTGTTCGAATCCCATGCTCATTTTTTTTTTGCCGCTGGTTTTAATGATGTTTCCAAAACATGTTGTAAGACCAGTATTTAGTTTTATAAGCTCCGCTTCTTGCGCTTTTTAGGTAGTATAAATGTATTAAATGATGTAAATTAAAGTATTATTGATTCTATACGTAAGTCATTGAAAAGTATTGGGTATTGGGTATTTTCAGCACATAATGTTAAGATTGGAAGTTTGTATTTACTTATATTCAGTTCAAATTATTTATACTTCAACCATCTGCCCAGAGAATGCAAATATTGTCCAGTGTATAACCTCATATTCCAAATATTTAGCTGCAATGAACAGTTCGGTATCATCAGCAAATATAGTAATGTCACAAAATCACAAAACTTGTCGCATGTCATTGATATACATAATAAACAAAATGAAACCTAATTCATTTCCCTGGGGCACTCCAAGTTTATTCCCCACTGAACTGAAAATAAAAACATTGAGAAAAGTCATTTGAGTTCTGTCACACAATTAACTTTCAAACCATTTGTATACAGATCCCGAAGTTTCAAAGCGCTTTATGTTTCGCAATAACATGGGCCTAGACATAATTTCAATGGCGCGTTTCATAGCACCGACATTTACATTACGGGGGAGCAACCCACATACGTCATGAGGTACGTCAAACTGTATTATTCGGAATGTAGACTTCAGAATCGTTACCGGAATTAAAATTAGGTCAGATCTAACCATAGGTGGATACATTAATTTTTTTTTTCCAAATGGTTCCACTGTGGAGTAAAAGTTTGTTTTGAGCAATTTACTGAAAACTCGATCCAGCTACGAATTAACTGTAGATACATCAAAGATCTGTGAGAGAAAGTTGAAAACCTTGAGCTTGAGATCGTGTGTATGGAATTAGTTTGATTCCAACTGCTAAGAGTTTTGAGATACAGTAATGACTTGATCCGCTCTCATTCATCTTCAAGATGGTATTCTTTGGCGCGGTAAGACCACTTACAAAACGCATGGGTACAGCAGAACATACGATTTTCAAAAAAAAAAGGGCGGAAAATCGGGTCATCATTGTATTTTAATTTTTCTACTAAAGTCGACCTTTTGCCTCATTTTACTCTACACGTTATTCTGGGGTTACTCACTTTTGAGTTGAAAATAGCTAACTTTGGCCAAAAGGGATGTTACCCGAAAATAAGAACACCTGAATTTACTCAAATCTGGGTAAACGTGCTTGCGGTGGAAACTGGGTAGAGGTTACTCAGATTTTGACGTTTGTTAACTGGGTACAGGTTACCCATTTTTATAGAAATTAAATTTCTCAAACATGCTTACAAATAATTTTCTTTTCAGACGAAAATTTATAACAATTGATGCAACAATCAACATATATTTATAAAAATCATACAGAGCTTTGGATAAATTAAATATTTAAAAAGTTAGCTGCTGACTGTTTCATCGATGATTTGTAATCCTGCAAATCCAATATCGTTTAATGAGTCGCGGGCTTGGTCAAATGTCAAAAACTGCACCTGAAAAATTAAGAATTTAGAGGAAGTATAAAGTTAGAAAACTTTCAATGTACTTTCCAACAAGCTGCTGTCATGTGCCACCATTCAAAAAGTTTCATAGTTACTGTTTTCAACTGTATCACATCTAAACGTTTCATTTTTAGATTACGCAAAACATATTTTTTCTTTGGTGCGCCATTTTGAATTTTGGGAATTTATTATTATATACATTTACCCAGAATCTGGGTAGCTTTTACTTACAAAAGTTATCTACTCAAATTTTGACAGAGGAATGAGTGGATCTCAGTCACTGAATAGACTTAAAACAGCGTGTATCAAACTTCGTATTCAAGGTCACAAAAACAACTTTGAAAACTTCTGTCATACCAGTGGGCAGGAAAGTTTTCGACCAGGAATGTAAAATTCCATTCTGATATAAAGACAGAGTTAATGCATTGAAGAGACAAACTTTGACAATATTAGTGGTTGAATGTTAATGAACATCTCAACAACTTTTATTTTCTCCGCATACTTCGCGGCGTGTCATGCGATGTAAAATTCTTCAATCCTCAGCATCAGG